GAAAGAGAAAATTGTGCGTGGAATGGATCACTGTGCTTTTTTTCATCAAGTGTAATTTTCCTGCAGTTTCTCGTCACTTCTGCTTGTTCGTGTTCGAGGCAGCCGGGGTAATATCCGGGGAATTACATGGGATTTTGCGCTACGTGTTTGTAATAGGCTAAATGTTGTGCTCGTGATGGTGCCTTGCTCTGACGCTTTCGATCCTCGAAAGAGAGCGCGGGTTAAGTAAACGGGAAGGGTGAGGTGGGCGAATGTTCATACGTGGAAACAGGATTAAAATATCAGGGCGTACGATTCGCTTGTAAATGGAACGCTCGCCGATTTTCCGGATTGTGAGGGATGAACGGGTGGCGAGCGGCGGAACGTGAAGGGAAAATGCACCGTCGAGAAGGAAGTCGTTTCGCCTAGACGACACGGCGGCAAGTTCGAATGGCCGGAAGCGAGGCGACGGTATCGTTCGCTATTTCCAAGAGATATCCCTGTGCTTGGTGATGAAGGGTAACAGAGATGGTGCCTCATACATGCGTTGTACGGTGTGACGTTTTCTCTTACAAATTTATTCGGCGATATACCGGGCAACTTCTTGCTTTTGCCTTACGCGATGTTCCGATTTTGGCTTTTTTGATCTTCCGATAGCGGATTGACGAAGATCAGAAGGGTAGAAAGGCCAAATGTGAGTTAATTTCCTTATTGATGACGATCGATGCTTTGACGGGCCGAAATACGCGGATGATCGGCGAGCGAATTTCGTTCCGTTTGCTCGTGAGCACCGCTGTTTGCCGTGAATATTACCACCAACCTGAAAGTTTAATTCGTACGGTGAATAAACTTAAAATGTATGTTAATACCGGACTGTGCATAACGGTGCGATAATAAAAAAAAGAATAGGAATTGCATGATGATAAATTTTCAAAAAAGAAAGTATAATTTATGTGGTTTATCCTCTTGATAATTCTCTCCAAAGTAAAGAATGATTTATTAACTGTATAAATTAAAACGAGTTGCGAAGATTATCGATATTAATGGATTAAATAACTCAAACTCAATATAAATGTCATCACGCGTATGGGACAAAAGATCTACAATATTTTACACGCACAAGAGATCTACAATATTTTATTATAATATCAAAATTTCGATGTTTTTTTTTCAGAATTGATATACTTTCATTAATTTTATTTACATACTTTTTGATACCATTAAATTAATCAAGCTAATTTCGCGCCGATTGCTTGTTGTGAGCATTATCACCAGCTTGAAAGTTAATTCATACGATAAATGAGTTTAAGATGTGTATTAATGCTTGCCGGAGCGTGTATAGTTGTGCGATAATTATGAAGAAAGAAATTATATGGCGAATAAATTTTCAGAGAGAAAAGTTGATTTACGTGACTTATCCTCTCGACGAGTCTTTCCGAGATTAAAGATGATTTATTTGTTATAATTTATTTGTTATTCAAACATGGTTATAAATATTTTATTACAATAGAGCCAAGCAATTTCACTTTGCTCGGCTCTATTGTTTTTGTATTTGATTTTTAATGTTTGTGGAGCTTCTATATTATACTTTTTTTAAATGTTTAATAGAGCATCTATATTGTATTATTTTTTGAATTTATATTGAACTTCACTCTTTGATATTTTCAATTGATTGATTTCTGAATCAATTATAATTTGCATCGCGAGTATTACCAGCAATCTAATTGATTCGTAATAATAAAATCAACAATAATAAAATACAAAGTAACACATCTCACCTCCACCGCCGCCGCTGCCGTATCCACCCCCACCGTATCCGCCGCCTCCGCCTAATTTCCATCCACCGCCGCCGAATCCACCACTTCCACCACCTAACTTCCACCCGCTGCTACCACCGCTGTATCCACCGCCGTATCCACCGCCGCCGTATCCACCTCCACCACCGAACTTCCAGCCACCGCCGCTGCCGCCGCCGCCACCGTATCCACCACCTCCTCCATATCCACCGTCGCTAAGCGCGATTACTTTGATGATTTTTCCACCTCCACCGCCACCGCCACCGTAACCGCCGCCGCCGCCGCCAAATCCACCACCGCCGAACTTCCATCCGCCACCTCCACCGCCACCGTAACCACCGCCGCCGTATCCACCTCCGCCACCGAGCTTCCATCCACTGCTGCCGCCGCCGAAACCACCACCGCCATAACTACTGCCGCTGCTTATGTAACCACCTATAATTTCGAAATCATGATAGATTCTATTATATTTTTCACCACATTTGAAAATTTTGATTCTTAATTAGGTAACCACAATTTATAGAGATGAAGGATGTGTTTGCGCGATGTACGATTTATCGACTTTCTTTATAAGACTACGAGCTTGGTACCAGATGGTTGCGTTCGCTTATGTCGGTCCGCAAATTGCCACGAGGTATTTTGTGATTGCTACAAGAAGGAGACTGGTTGCATTCTGCCGATTGTGTAAGTCGTCTCAAAGGGCAGGGGGCAAGTACAAACCGCTCTCAGATTAAATCTTATGAGTTCGTTTAATATTGCTGAACTAACCAGTAATCACATAAAAAAATCGAAAAAATTTATGAAATGTGTGTGTGCGTCTATTCGTCTCGCTTGTTAGTGCAAATAATAATAGCAGTGTAGCTAATTATTTCAAATGATAATTTTTGCCATGGTAGCGACAATAATTACTTTTCTTGTAATTTGTGACAATATTTAAAAGACTAATTAACAACTACCGTTTATTAAAAGACGTAGATATAATTTAACAGCGAAAAAGACAGCGTCAGATGATTTCTTGAAATCTTTAATTTGCTGATTCTCTCTCTCTCTTTCTAATTTTATTTTACAGTTACATTTATAATTACAGTTACCATCTTCCTACCGGAGATCAATTGTATATCGTAAAAAATGAAAGTTTTGATAACTTCGTTTTTTTTTTAGAGAACGCCCTACAAAATACAATTTTGATAAGCAATCGATCTCAAGCAAGATATTGGAATCTCCGGTAGGAAGGTGGCAATCGTGTTTATAATGTTTAATTCAATACCATGTTAAAATAGATTTAGAATAAGTCTATTTTGGAAATAAGATAGAATAAAATAAATTGTCACATTTACGTCACAGTGAATTGGCACATTTACAGTTAGTTGCAACCACTTTCCACGGATTCTGGCGTACTGAGAGGGTTAAAAACGCCGCGAACACTTCACACGCGAAACACCCCCGTCATAATCCCCGGTCGCCGTTTTCATAAGCCCCCATTGTACTCACCGTATGCGGTGGCGACGAACGCCAGCACGAGTGTGACAACGAACACCTGCAACAAGAGAACGGTCAGGCGTGAAAGCTTTAACAATCGCGAGAAATTGATCTATACGAGAGAGTGTGTTCCGATCATTCAATATACATATAATAATGTTTATACGAGAGTACGTGCGTTCGCGCTAGGACCCACTTCTACGTACCTTCATGTTGGAGGTGTTTGATGCCCATCATGGGGTCCGCCAGCTCTTTTATAGCTCCTGCCTTTCTTCGCGGCTCTGGGCCCCCGCCCTTCCGTCTTCCCTTCCCCCCGCATGTTCTTCTTCTGGATCACGAAACCCGACTTTCGTGCCCACCACCGTCACCATCACCGTCGACTACGAAAAATTCCCGTCGCCGTTCCAGACGACTGCCTCCCCACCCTCTCTTGCGTCGAGCGATAACGAGACATCAGGTCTCGCTAATCTTGACACCTAGCTGTCCGATCGTGCCACGAGATCGAGAGGCCTTTCGTCGCCGCGGGGCGAGATTCGCGACATTCGCGACACCCGCTCGGACGAAGGGGGATGGCGTGTGGAAACGTAGCGACCTCGTTGGCGGGAAATCGCGGTGATGATTCATCGGCCAAGATAATCGTGCGACGTTCACAGAATATTCGCCTGTTCGAAGGAGAACGTAGCCTCCGGGCGCGACAACGACGGTACGCTGATTGCGGAATCTCCCGTTCGTATGCTCGGCGCGGTAGTAATTATCGCGCGGCGAATCGTGCTTGCTGGACCGGAAACGCCCGGGACAGACGCTCTCCAGCCTGGTAACGTTTCTTCAGAGTCCGGACACGCATGCCGGTGACTCTTTCTTGATATTAACCCATCCAGCCCATTCTCTGCTCTCGCCAAGTGAGCAAATCACACTTATACAAGGTGTTTCGAAAATGGAACTGTCGGGTCAGATCGTTGTAATCTGGAGTCAGAGACTTTCCTCTTATGTGAACCGAATTTTGATCGCTACCTTTATGCGTTTGAAAGTCTCCGTTTATATCAATATTAAATGTTTAACCTGTTTAATATTTCTATTTAATATCCTTTTGATTTTATAATTATATTGTGAAATAGTTGAGCAATCTAGCCAAAGTAGAATATGTATGAAATATTAATTATATATGGAAAAAGTAAATTGAAAAAAATTAAAAAATTTAACAAGCTACTAGATCTGAAAATAATTTTGTTAGATCATCAAAATAATTATGTAAGACATTCAAGCTAGAATGTCTACACTTTTTGCAGCATTGCTCATTATACGAAGAAAGAATTTGGTATGAACGCTAATCCTATGTCATAACGGCAAATTCCATTTGCAAATATAGGGATCGCAAATTATTTGCAGGTGTAACAAATATCTATTCTTTTTTGTACTCGCTACGAAAATTATTTGCAACAAATGTGAAATATTTATTATTATTATTTATTTGTGCATTAATTACAAATAAAATGAAAACAAAATGATTACACAGTTAAACAAGAAAAATTAAGTGCACAAAATGGTGAAGCACCAGCAAAATCTGCTGCTCTAACACCTATCAAAAAATGAGAGAGTAAAAAATTACAATTACAAAAAAACGCAAAGGTTAACATAAATTTAACAATATAATATGAAAGTTGGAAATATAGAATATATAAAACGTAAAGTAACATGACGTAACATAAGTTTATCGTAGCATAAATTTGACGCAACATAAGATGTAACAATATGAAAATTGAATATAAAATTGAATATAATATTTGTAGAAAGTAAATTACTAATATAAAATAGCGTAAAATAGCAGTGCGGGAAGGCTGAGAGGCGACACGAATGCAAGTGAGAATATTAGTGACCATATTTATTAAATATACAAATTTATTTGGTATAAACAGCAAACAATTTAACAATTAAATTTTGCAATCCTTTTACGTTTAGGCAAAAATAATTTTTCTCCGTGTATGCTTGAGCGTTCTACATAATTATTTTGATGATGATTCCAACAAAATTATTTTCAGATTTGTATCTAATTAAATTTTAGACACTTTAGCAGAATTGTTCTTTTCGTATGTAATTCTATTTTTTTATTTTCTATATAAATCATTGTCCGACAAAGACGTGAATAGGAATTTGTGCTCTGTAGAGGTAAGATCTTTTATTTATTGACTCCAGCTTTAGACACCTAATCGTAAAAGCGAAAATTGGTTGTAACAGGAAAGGAAAGCCTTGCTCGAGGGAGTTGGCCAATGCGTACGTAGACACGCCGCGGTTGCCACGGTGTGGTACGCGAAATTGTGCAAGTTCCATGCCAGGAGATAAACATCTCTGAGCCATTTTTTATCTCCAGACAATCTCTTGGCAGCGTGCACTCGCCAGGACACCACACTGTTATTATCAAAGATCACACAAATAAATTACTGTTCCTGATAATTCTTCTTAGCGCAATAACTGATCATCCACCGATCGCCACGGTTTCGTCAGGGAAACGTGTTCTCGATGACGTCGTGTGTCAAATCGTAAAGCAACATCAGATAGGACTCATGGTCAAAGTGTAAGATTATAGATAATAAAAAAAAACACTGTGCGTGTCGGAAAATTAATAACACCGTTTACTAATTGTAAGTTAAAATCAAAGTAGTGATGAAGACAATACATGTGTATAGATGGAAAGATAACGTTTATAATAGCAGAGATCTGAGATTATTCATAAAATGATAATAATAATAACTGCAACCGTACCCGAGATAGTCATTGCTAATTAGCTAATAAATCAAGTGGTAAGATTATTACTCTGATAAATTCGACATCAATATTAATACAACATCAATATTAATTCAATATCGAGAAGATGTTGCGCAAGTCAGAGGTACTTTGCCTCTATCTTACTTTTTTTTTTACTTTTTAGTAGTATAGGAACGCATTGGCTTAATCGCGCTTCGGGAAACAATGCACGGGGCGATAATGGATGGTCGCTCAGTGGCAATCATTCTTCGTGCCAGCGAGGTAACGTCTTGCGTGCGTAACTATTATCAGCGTTTTACTCTCGATCGCTGCACAAAAAGCAATATAGAGATACTCTGTGGAAGGCGAAGGCCTTCCTGGCCTTTCACCGTACCGATGTCCGCGCGGACGTGCCTGACCTCTTCGGTTAGCTCATCGAACCGCGCGATGATTGATATGAGTAATTTGGACGGATAGTTCTGGTCATTGATGACATCGGAAACCAAGGTTGAGCGTATTCGAGAGAGTAAGTAATGAGAGCTATCATCCTGTCGTGAAGAGGAGTTATGAAGAAGCTTTGTGCATAGACACGCACACACACACACACACACACATAATCCTATAATATTCATTGCTAAGACATTAGCATGCAGCATTTGTGTAATCATGTTTGGAAGTTTGAGAGACGCAGGTGCGTATGGTCGTGCGCGCGTTACCTTTAAGATAATTGGTACGTTCCCTGTGGAATTCGTCGTTCGCAAACTTAACAGAGTGATTTCGATCGCTCGGTATCTCGATGTCGATGACTGCTTAATATCTAAAGTTCACAACTATCTCGACGATGATCACGTGTGCGGTAATCGTAAAAGCGGATTGCTGGCCTCTAGAAATGCGGAATCGCCAACCTATCGAACCTGATATGCTCTCTAGTGAAAGTTAGACCGTATTATAATCCTTAGCAGTTTTAGCATGAGTTATGATAGGATGATTAAGGTACCTTCTTTTATATAAGTATAGATACTGCACCTCGTACACGCTAAATTCCCGTAAACTATGAGGTGAATGTATTACCCAATATTACGCGATAACATTAAGTAGAACATAAAATTGAAGACTCTTGATATAGAAAAGATTGTAAAACATGCTGTAGTTTCCTAAATGGAAAGAACAATTTTGCTGAAATATTTAAAAATTTAGTTAAGATCTGTGAAAATAATTTTATTGAACTATCAAAATAATTATAGGAATTATAGGAAAATAATTATAGGAAATTCAAGCATGATGAGCAATTAATTCTGAAAAAAATTTTGACATTCCAGTAACCAGCTAGAGTTTTCTACATAATTAATATTAAGTGAAAATGTTAAGTGAAAATCGAGCGATGAGATTAAACATACGTAAGTGAAAAAATTCCTACTTAATTAATTATTCTACATAATTATTCTGTATAATTATTTTGGTGACCTAGTAAAATTATTTTCAGATTTACATTTAACTAAATTTCTATAGATATTTCAACAAAACCATTTTTTCCGTATATACAACAAAAGACTTTGATTAATAATATTGGCGTTACGTTTGATATAGAAGCTCTATTTATTTTTAGGGCGCGCGACATTTAGGTCAAACGCTCAGTTTGCAAAAACGCAAAGAATTTATCTTGTTCATCAGTACAAGGATTGATATATCTACTGACATACTTCATCGCCTTAAGGCAACGTTTCCCGCTGAGTGCTGCATGATGATAATTAGATAAATCGAGTCTATATACATATATATGTATATATGGGAGTACATACTTCGAGCTTCATTTTCTTTATATTTCTAACCGGGTTTTCTCTGATATATACGTGAGCAAGAAATAAATGAACATTGTTGATCGAGGGCGTTGTGTACGTTCGAAGGGAGTTGCAAAATACGCGTGCATCGTCGACATCGAGAAAGGACGATAGAATCTCTCTGGAGCCGCGGGATGCCACAAGTACGTGACGTAATATTACGTGCCTCATGGTCAGAAGGTGAAAACCGGTCGACGCTTGAGACCGCGGGATTTTCTACGTCGGAAAAACCGAAGCGTTACGCTCAGACGAGTTATGGATCGACCAGTACTCCGTTTTTGCTTGCGGTTTTTCAGTGCCAAATATAATGCATTGTTATGCATAAAATTGAGATGTATGATCTAAGAATGCCGGATTCACCGTCGTCTCTTTTAAAAATAATTTTTATGGAGCTCTTAAAGTTAAAAGGATTTTCTCATTATCGAAAATTGATGGGATATCTAATGACACGAAGAGTAATAATGTCGTATATTAAAGAAGAAACTGTCCGAACTAAGTTTAGGAAAAAATATCACTGAAATTAAGAAAATTTATATATACATAGTTTACAGAGAAATATAGTTTAAAGTTTAATATGCAAACTTTATAAAATATAATTCTTCTGAGATACTAGAAGATTATGGAAAAGCTTTTTAATAGCGGAAATGTAAATTACATTTTCAGACATTTATGTAATTCCGATTATTATAATACATTTATTTCGGAATTTCAAGATTTTTTTTATCGTTATCAGGTACAAATTTGTAGCGCATGTACGTATTGAACCGTGCGAGCATTGCAAGCTTTGTGTGATCGTTCAAGTATCACGTTTGTCGACGATTAATCTGTAGAGTCAAGTAGAGATTTAGTAAAAGTTGTCGCCCTCATTAGAAGTTGCTCAAATACATAAGCGATACGCGTATTTGACGAGCAGTGCAAATGGAAGAAACTCCCGGGAACAGTGTGACAGAGTGACCGAGTAAAATCGACGCAAAGCTGGCAAGTCGCATTTACGATTAGTAGCGTGCAAATCAATCCCTGCTTACGTTTTTCAGCGTGGTCATAATGTCGTTTGAAAATGAATATATATATTATATATATACATATCGCTATCTTTCTCTTGAAACAGTGTACAGTGTAAGGTAAAATTACAATTTATCTTGTTACAAGCATTTTTGGAACTAATCTATAAATTGAAAAATAGTAAGTAAAAATCGAAAAATCTTCAACATATATAAGCGAAGGAGACCATATTCCATCATAACAGATCTATGACTTAGATGCCTAATAATGTCTTTGTGTGAATCTTACAATTTCCAGTTTAAGCAAACTGAGCATTATTTATTTGCCTGAAACACAGTTCTAAACTGGAGTACATATTAGAAATTAAATTGACAATTATTTACAGCGTTTTCATGCTCATTAGCATCAGTATTATTAAATTGCTTGTCAGTTTCAATATATGATAATAGTTGCTTTCCATTTACATACAAGTGAAATTGAGTCTGAAGTGAGCTGAGTATTTTATACTCAGATCAATGACGTCACTAATTGCTTTCTTTGGTAAAAAGATATCACATGTCAATACAGGTTTATAACTTCACTTTGAAGTGAGTTTATGAGACTCACTAACGCACATAGTCTCGATCTTGTGCAGATTATAGGTAAAAACTCAGTTGAATCTCACTTGTCAGAATGCAAAAGGAATGCGCGTTCAACTGAGTTATGACGTCATAAGTGAGAATTATTTGAGAATCGATGTAAATGGAAAACAACTATTATATACTCCAGTGTTCTACAACTATAAATAATCGGAACGCAGTTAGTTGCTTGAATTGAAAATTATACATAGAAAGAATGGTATTGTTGAGATCAACAAAATCTTTCGTATATAAGTACCAATTTTGCTAAAGTAAAAAGATTAAGCTAGATACAAATTTAAAAATAATTTTGTTGGACCATGTAATTACGTACACAGAAAAAAACAGCTATGATTACTACGATCAAAAGTCGACTATTAATACATTGATTATAAGAACTATAATACGATTGTGATAATCATAAGATTAACATGTATCTTAATCGCATATCTTAACGATTATGGCTGTAAAGATATGTCCATCTTACGGTTATCACAACCAACAAATGTATTGATGGGCGAAAATTATCATTATTTCCAATTGTGGTAACCGTAACATTTTTTCTGTGTAAAAATCTTTAGCATCAGTTTGAGCGTCTTACGTAGTTAATTATTTTGATGATCCAACATTATTTTCAGATCCATATCTAATTAAATTTTTAGATATAAATAGATATTTATATAAAAGTAAAAGGATAGATTTCGCTTGTTTTCCGCAAAAGCAAGACATAAAAAATCAAGTCAGTGATCAAGCCAATTAAGATGTATAAGTTAAGTAAAATTAAACCATTTATTATGTGAAATCAAAAGAAAGTACGTTTTGTGATTATGGATCATTTCTTCAGCCAATGAAAAACATTAATAATTATAACATGTCGCTATTATAACATTAGGTATAAACGCAATAAATAAAGTGTAGTTAGATATTTATATGTAAAATTTCACCTTTTCTAGTTAAATTTGTAGATATAAACAGATATTTATATCTAAAAATTTAACTATTAGGTACACAGACATGAAAATAATTTTGTTGAATCATGAAAATAATTATATAGAACTTAAATTGATCGCTAGAGATTCCTACATAATTATAATGATTTAATAAAATTATTTTCAGATATATTAGCAGTATCTCTCTATCTAATTTTTTTATTTTAATAAAATCGTTCTTTCCGTGTAAAATTCACACAAAAACATAATTAAGTATCCATTTTGATCGAATATATAGTCTTCTATGCTTATTTGTGTTTATAAATTGAAGTTTTACTATACATACTTAGATATTGCAGATATAAAAGTAATTTTATTGGACCATCAAAATAAATACGAAGAAAATTCAAGCGTAAGAAACAATGCTGTAAAAAGTTTCGATATTCTAGCAACTAGTTTGAGCGTTTTACATAATTATTTTCATAGTCTAATAAAATTATTTTCAGATCGATATTCGCCTAAAGTTTTAGATATTTCAGCAAAATTATTTTTTCCGTATAGAAAAAAAATGCCATAGCATCTGTATATCTTACTTGAGAAATATTTCGATTTCTTAAGGCTACGTATATGAATACAGGTATAGTCATGTATGTTTATGTATATCTTCATCTTATTGCTATCATACAAAAGGAGGCCCCGAGGATTGCAGTGAAGGAGCGCGATAATTAGATTTACCTACGTAATTACACACGTACAAATTTCGTAGGAATAAATGTGGATCCACGTCCAATGTTTCACGACGGGTGATCTTTTCGCAGGATTATTGGGTTATCGTCCTGAAAATCGCAACTTGCCAGCGTTACTTGTTACGAGGACTTAGGCGGCAACTCCGATACATGCGGAGCGGTAATGAGCGGCATTGTCTGTCGAGCGATGCTTCATACGTAGCTTTTCTCTCCTTCAGCATACGGATACGCCGTTAATTATTAAGTGTCCCGGTTGCCGGCCATTATGCCGGCTTTTTAATACAGTACTGTGTCAGTGCTGGCTGGCAATCTTTCTAATCAAGAATTGCAAATGATTTTGCGCCGCGGGAATTTGTCCCTGATATTGTTGTCGTAATATAATATAATCGTATAATTAATCAATTACGGTTAGATGGCAATCTCTATAAAATTGGCTAACGCTATTTAATTTCAAATTTTCAATGTTTTGCAACTAAGAACCATTTCGTGTCGCGAAATTCACCATTTGCCTTTCAAATTCAAGTCTATAAAAGTCACGTTGTTATACGTTAACCACAAATAGACTTTAAATCGATGCATGCAATAAATATACAATATCAATCTTCTAAATCATGCTGCTCGCGTTTCTATTCTGAAATCTGCAACCGCGCATTGTATATTGAATGTTCGTGTCATGCAAGCTTGAAGTCAGCGCATACTCCTCAAGGGATAAGCTAATGTTACCCGGAACGTCGCGTGTCATAACACGCAATGGAACAGATATAACAATTGAGGTATTTGTCACGGTTAAGACTCGACGAACATGCGCATAACGCAAACCGGGACACGCGGAAATGCATCTTGCTTTGCTTATTACGAGCGACACCGACATTAGAGTGGAAAGTCCAATTAAAACCGGATCACTCCGACGCGAAATCCGAAAATCGGGGAGCGTAATGCACACAGCATGAGAAGTTCAGATTTGTGTACATAATACGAATCGAGATTGCAACGTGGATCATCGCTCGGAACTTATTTCAACGAGAATCGTTAAATTAATGCCTAATGCGTCGCTTTACGTTGTAGGTGCATGGCTGCAAGACAAGTATAATAGGTATTTGAAATAAATTGCAAATTTGCTGCTATATGAAAGGAAGAGGGATTGATGTGTTAATGTACAGCTTGATGTGTTGCGTTGTGGTGTGCTATCAAAACAATGAAACAGCCGCGAAAAGAGGGGCTCGCGAAGATACCCATGGCAATCTCTTCGTAACCGACGGACAAATGCCGGAAAGAGCTCTAAAACTCACCGAGGCAAGGCTACGTTGCAGACGAAGTATGCAAATTCAGTCTATAAAACGTACATGCCAAATGCAAAGTAGAGATGAGCGATCGACGGACGAGGTGATGCGCGACTGCGAAAAGTCACGCGACGGTTACGACCGATAGAGATGTAAATTGCGCGGCGACAAATGCACGCGTCTCACTTTCGCTGTTTTTACAATGGCTATGTTTCAAAATTGACTACCAGTACTAAAAATCTATAGTGCACGTAACATAAACCGTAGATTTTCAACGTGGCAGTAAATTTGAAACACAACCATTATTAGATATCAATCAAAGAAGCAATGGTAACTCAATTATCCTTGAGTTAAATAACACTTTATTATTTTTAACTTTCATGTGTCAAAATGTAAATTAATCCATTTCTGGAATCAGTTTCAAAGTAAATAACGCCCAAATTAATGTGTGCACTTAGTAAATAATAAATTAAATTTGAGTAAAGGAGGATGTTAAGTTAGGGAAATAAAATATTAAATAACTCGTAAACTATTAATTTTTTGATAACCATACCTTAATACTTTTATGAACAGAATAATGAGATAAATCAGTTGATGGAAAGAAAACACATAGTTGCTTATTTAAAAAATTATACATTTTGCATACATATTTTTTTTAAAGCAATTGTATGTGTTTTCTTTACACCAATTGATTCATCTTATTATTCTGTTCATAAAAATATTAAGGTACGATTATAAAAAAATTAATAGTTTACGAGTTATTTAATATTTTATATATGTGCCTAAATAAAGTATAAAATATCTCGTAAACTATTGGTTTTTTACATCTATCTTAATACTTTTATATACAGAATAATTAAAGGAATCATATTGTCTAAAAAAAATTATACAATTCCATTTAAAAAAGTGGAGAGGTGACCTTTATATCTTTTTGGCGCCTCCATCTAGAAAAAAAGTCAACATGACCAAAATACATCTCCCTCAAAACCGTTCCACTTTCATTTGAAACATTTTTTTATATCATCAAAAATAAGCAATATTTCAGATAGTCGATTTAAGGATCACCCTGTATATGTATACAGGGTGACCTCGAATTACGGAATCACCTTTCGTAAGCAGGCAGAATGGACTAAACTGAGTCAAAAGGATGCCATGAGGCTGTTCCCAGGACGTCCTGAGACTGTCCTAGAAAGTTCTGAAGATGACGACGTGAGGCTGTCCCAGAACGACCTGGGGATGTCCTGAAATTGTCCTAAAAATCCTTAAGATGACGTCCTTAGGCTATCCCCAGGACATCTTAAGGCTATCCTCAATAAAGCTGCCTCGGGACGTCCCAAGACTGTCCTGAAAATGACTACGTGAGGTCGTCCCAGGACGACCTGAGGATGCCCCCAGGCTGTCCTAAAGGTGTCCTGAAGATGATGTTCTGAGGACGTCTTCAGGGCGTTCCCTGGATATATAAATGTCCTCAAAATGTCAAGTAAAATCAATATGGCCATATTGATTTTACTTTACAAAAAGATTCTTTTCTTTTGATTTACTGGTAATTAAGAAACAAAATGTTGTGACAAAAAATATAAACTAAATATAATATTGTAAAATATAAATGAAGAGCTACAATAATATAAATTCTCGAAATTAATAATCATCACTTGGTAGTTATAGCAATGATTTACCTAACCTTGGAAATATTAGATCACGATTATGACATTCGGCACTTGGCATCACTAACAACAACAAACTGAGTAGTTAACTGATGCGAACAAGTCACATAGACAGCCTGTAAGATAGTACTATTTGTTGAATTCATCATGTAACTACCTACAAGTAGGTCATATTAGATACTAGACCTTATTGGGTACATTTACCTTAGTTTGAGGTTTTTGTGTTAGATATTTTGATCCTGCAAGACAATTATGATTGATGAGATAACATATTTGCTCCATTAGCAAGATATATTATCGAGATATACATATTCTATGCAAAATTCTGTACTTCAAAAAATATCGATATGAATTTAACACCGTACTGATTTCTATATAATTTTCATTGTGTTGGTGTTAATATTAATATCAATATAATATGAATTAACACCATAGATTTTAAATCACACTATGATGATGTTGATATAAATCAGGG